TGTATCAGCTGGTGTGTTATCTCGACAAGTTTGCCGACCTACTGTTCTGGACAATTTAATAGGTATATTAATATCACCTTCAAGCATTGCTTTTTCGCAATCAGAAAAAATATTTTTAAAACTCTCATCTGAGTTACTCCTTTTTTTAATTAAGATTGTACGTACGTCATCAACTCGTTCATAACAATAAGATAAATCTATATTGACTTTTTGTAATGCTATGCATAGGGGTAARGTAATAGAAAATATGTTTTCAATTACGTGTAAAGAAATTACAAAATTCGAAGCGCTAATGGCACAAGATAATTGAAATGCAGCTTTTGACGTTTCAATATTGGAACTACTCTCCRAWTGTTTTAAAGCATGGTAAATGCTCAAATACAACTCTTTGAAACGAGTTATACACTCATGACGTTCAATCCATCTAGTTTCGCACATTCGTATTAAAGTTAACTGGCGACTATTAGGAACATATTTTTTAATATTTTCAGTTAAAATATGTGATCTCTGTGAAGAAGCTCGAAAAAATGTAACGACTGAGGAAACCGTTCCGATACAATTTCTTATAGACACAACTTTGCATGAACTACTTATCGCCAAGTTCAGTGAGTGAGCTGCGCAATGAACATATAATGCATATGGCACCTGACCTGTGATATATTTTTGAACACCTTTGAACTGCCCGCTCATAGCTGCGGCCCCATCATAACCCTGTCCGACTAGATATTGTTTTTCTAAACCAAGTTTTTCAATTTGCTGCATTATTGTTTTAGATAAACCCTCACCAGTCAAATTATCTGCAACAACAAACTCAAGAAAATCTTCCCGAATACAATATGTCGAGGTATCAAGATCAACATAACGCACACAAATCGACATTTGTTCCAATCGGGAAATATCTTGAGTTTCATCCACTAAAATTGAAAAATACTTTGATGTTTTAATTTTTGATATTCTATTTTCTTGAATTAATTCCCCGCATATTTGTATTAATGTATTTTGAATATTAGGACTTGTATAAGAAGCAAATGTAGTCGAATTTTGTAGATGGTTTTTCAATAAAGAATCTGTTTGCGCTTTAAATCTTAATAATGATCGAAAATTGCCATCATTTACTTCAGAATCGTTGTCATATATGTGACCCGTGTCGCGATGGCCCCTCAAAGCGATGTTTTGACGACCACATAATATTATTGTTTCTATAATAGAAAAAAGTTTAGTTCGGTTTTCTAACACTTGTTTTTTACGCGAAGAATCAATTTCATTAACGATAGAATTTTTTTTATTTTCCATTATTTTTATAAAATCGTC